GSKAAAAWRCKAAAAYGSKAAAAAAAACTTTATTAATAAACAAAAAGGCTGATGAGGCAGCTCAAAGTACTCACAAGGAGATCCCAGGAAGCAAACACGAGGAATATAAAGACAACCACACTGGCTTGCAAGCAGCACAATGAACGGACAAGGCAATGAGGACAGAAAACAGAATATAAAGAGAAACTAATTAGGGACAACAAGAAACACCTGGAGGAGATCCAAGTAGAAACAGGTGAGCATGGGCGGGGCTGYAACAGGGCAGAGATACACAGGGGGAACGCTGAAACACTAGAAAACTAAGGCAGAAAAACACGCAGATCATGACATTTTGAACCTGAACAGTTGACGTCGTTTGACCACCTTTCATAGCCCCTGAAACACATCATGCCGAGTTCCTGGGAAACCCCTGCCACTGTGGTACACGTCACAGCATGGGTTTCTTCCCACTGAAGTTTACATTCTGGGAAAAAAAAAAACTCCAATACATCGGTACAAAATGTTTCTTTTATCTCCATCCATGAGTTTTTTGCCATCAGATTATATAAATTAATGTCTACTTTCAGGCACAACTGCAAGATTATTATTATTATTATTTTGGAAATGAGTAGTTGAAGCAAAAAGCAGCGTTCAAGCACTTTCTGACCAATCACACAGTAAGTTCTTCTGCAGAGGGGAGTGAAAAGTTCTTCTGGGTTGTGACAAAAAGGGGTAGAAGACTCAAAGCTGTGAACTGAATGACACCATTTTTGTCATGACACTGCGAGAAAAAGAACCGATTTTGGCAGTTTGGATGGAGTAAGTGGAGGCTTTTAGTTAGTTGTTCATTTAGCCAACTTATAAACTAATGGTTCACCTGCATTTACAAAACCTGAAACTAAGACTTACACTAAGACTCTACGGTGTACACCTGCTTTTATTAGTTTGTTATAGTTTATACTCCAGCTGCTATAATACAAGATAATTTCCACTGCAGTGTTGTCCTATTCTCCCAGACTCCCATCTCCCACCCCCTGCATCTCCCAGTGGTTGTGGTGTAAAGGTCATAGGGCCTCAGTCTCTGGAACCATTCACAGCTGTAAACAGAACGTGAGAAAGCCCCATGTGGTTCTCCCCATGACACGCACACATACAAATTGTTTGTTGTGATACAGCTATTGGCTGCTGCAAGGATCCAGCCTCGACTTCCTCTGTCAGCTCTTTCAGTTCACACACACACACACACACACACACACACACACACACACACACACACACAC